TGTGATTAGGAAAATGAAAAACTAAAAGCATCTTGTCTTCGCGTGCACAGTTTCAAGGTGTAAAGTGCCATTAATTGTGGACAAGAAGGAATATTTATGCTTTATTTTTGCTATCAAATATATGTGAATTTATGGTGACCCCAGAATTGATGCGGACTTATGTCACTTAAGGAGTCCCTGTGTGTTGAGTGTGGTTTCCGCAGGCTTCGACAATGGACGTATTAAAGCAAGTATCCCGAAGTGACTGAAATACACTGAACTCATCCTGCGCAATGAATAGTATTACAGCCCCACCTGAGTTATCGATGTTAATCTAAAACACATTCAAATTTTCCGTTTGCACTCTAAGAGAGACGTCACCCGCAGCGGTTTGCCAAATTTTGCTTTCTATATATGGAATTTTTTGTGCCGTTTCATATACGTTTTGATAAAAACTGCTGAAGTTGTCCGCGCTAAATTTCGATATCTGGAAACATATTAGCACACACAACTGTAAGAAATTCAACTTACTTTCTGTAATGGAACAAGGCCTGCCTATTTCGGTGCCGTTAGCTGTGCAGATTCCATTTTCCACAGTCACGCGTACCTTGTCCAATTGAATCTTCTACGTTTAAAAAAATCAATTGCCTGACTAGGTTTAAAACTTAATAGTTCAAAATATCAGCAGCCATTTAGGATTTATTTATTTGCGCGGTTATACGGGCCTGGACAAAAGTTTAGAGATACGGAATAAGGCAACTGCCAGACTTTTATCATTCTTATTTTATGTTTTTATCCTTTTATTTTTTTTTCTTTTGTACCTCTTCTGCATGCCTTTAAGTTTCGTAAACTACTTATGACCACCGATTTTAGTAGAAAAATGCATCTGTTCTGACAGACTGATGCCGTTTTGGTGGACGCTGTGTTTTGATCTTAAGCGTATAAAAAGTTTTTTTATTTTGCTTGCATGAATCATGAAAGGAGCATACTTAGAAGTTAATTACTGGCGTGCGATTTAGAAGGGCGGACGTGCATGATATTCACGCCCGCTTGGAACATTTATTTATACTTATTTCAACTAGCCCATATTACTTGATCAAACAGCTCCGGTAGTTAGGACTCCAAATTTCAAAAGAATTCATCGGGGTATGGTTTCCCAGTCGTCAGTTGTCTAACAGAGTGTAGAAGTAAACTGCCATAAATATATAAGATCCAGCAGGATTATTGTACAATGTACTTACTGGTGAACGGGATGTTATATACCTCAAGGTCTGTGGTGGGTCACTTGTTTCTGTCACCACCCTTGACCCCCACACCTCTGGGGGTTTGCAGTCTGAAGTATAGCCGTGACCAAAAAATATATAAAAGCTCTTTATGTAGAAACTTAACTCAAATGATGTATTAGTTACAAATAACGACTTCCTCTAGACTGCACTAATTATTTTGATTTTAGAAAACTTTTAACCGCTAACTTCATACCGGATCGAAATGTTATGAGAAAATAGATAATTCTGATTCCACTAGGCGTATTTTAACTTATTTAGATGGTCAACAGCTGTCAGAAGTCCTTTACCGTTGCAGATGTTTGAAGTTGATCCCCAAGGTATCAATCTAACAACAGTAGTCATCCATTGCCTATCTCTCGGAAACGCAGTGGTGGTCTAATCCCAGAAACCTCGTCTATGAGTAAAGACCAGTACGTAGGAAGACATAATTTTTAAAATCTACTACCAACCACGTACGATCAGAAAGCAAAATTACTGCATTCGGACGGGAATTCACAGTTTTCACTTCATGTGTTGCACGAAATCAAGCAACAAGAGCGTGCAATCGGACTATACTCTCACAGATGTCCACCAAGCCGGCCCGCCCACAACTTAGGTGACTTTACATCAACACCTCAAAAGCTTCTATGTGCCACAGATTTCCCAATATGAAGTGTCGCTCACTGGATAATGGAGTGTTCATTTAGAATCAAAGCACTGAAAAATACTTCAACTAACGAGCAGGCGAATATACATCCCACAACGTTTAACCATTTTACGCTGAGAGACGACAAGGTGCAGATGTTGACGAACGTGTCTACGATCGTACAAGTCTGATTCAGTACTAGGCTCGCCATATAATTGCGCCAAATAGCAGAAAATGCTTTTTGAGTCTTCCGAAGACCCTTCAGAAAGGAGTAAAGTCGCATCATTATCCGCCTATTTTTATTTCTCCCAAGCAGTGCTTTGCGAATGCATTTAGAACTTTTAGGATAATTTATGCAGTGAAACAAAGCACCTAAAACGTATATGACTGTCCGGTTTTAGCTTAGTTGTAGCACATTCTAGCAGGCCACTAGACAGATTATGCTGGCTCATTTTGCGCTCTGCTCATCTACCGCAAATATAATAAGAATTAAAAGAACTTCATTCACTCCGACTGCATTACACGCGTTACTGTACTCTAATTCTTAATTTCTATAGGGTGCACTTTTGTCTCTCATTCAGTTTTTGGGAAAATTCAAACTTACATATTACACGAATGACGAAAAGAAGAAAGAAGACCTGTAACATTTTACCTCATTTAACGAGTTTTGCAATTTAAATAGTTCGCTTTGTCTGCAACTTCACTGGTCAGCCATGGCCCACTTAAATGCCTGCGCTGTAATGCGCATTGGAAGATGTGATAGGCCATTTTCCAGATGATTCTTTATGAAAGTTCACACAAATTGCAGAGTACGCATTTGAATGGTTCCTTGGAGGCCATTTGCTTGACAGACAAATGAGCCCATTTAAATTGCTCGACCTACTGAAGAGGATGACAATGTTGAGGGCCTTAATTTTTATTTATCTTATTCGTGCTATATGTAAGTACGCATATTGCTATCTGAAATGCATGTTTTGGGTGAGGTTTGTAGGCTCAACAGGAAAACAGGGGACACAAGATAAAAAGTAAAATAACGTATGGAGTATTAAAACGTAGTTTAGATTGAAATTTGAATTGAGTCTTTCCTTCTATTTGATTTACACTTAAAAATACTTTGTTAACCAGGACTGGCGGTCGTGAAATTAATTTCTGAAAGTTCACATCTTATATTATCTAGAAGTCTGTACTTCTGAAAAAGTACTCAATTTTTTCGCAATGCCTGATTAAACTACACCTTCTAGTATGAATAGTATTCGCATTGTTGCAACAACTGTGATGGCTACGAGAGAATAACAGCCGTTACGCAGCATACAAAGCAGTAAGCGCAAAGACTATTGTCCAGGAACATCTTTGCCATTACTGTGCAGTCTCGTGTGCCAAACTAAATGAAAACCTGCTAGATGTGTTCAATGAGAAAACTGAAACATCTGCAAAGGTTAATTTTAATGTGGATAGCATGCAAACCAGTAAAACACCAACGCTCAAAGTCTTAAATATGAAAACTCAATCAAAATTATTGCGACGTTGTAGAAACATCTTACCCATGCTTCTAGCTAGAAGAGATCGCTTCAGCAGAGCAACACTAATAATGCGTTTTAGAAACGTTTCAGGGTAGGCAAAGACCTCTTCACGCAGCTTTTACGATAATTGGTTCTGCAACTGCTTCATAATTTTGATGTGTCGCATAAAAGTTCCTTTGCTACTCTGTATCTGTATAACCTTGTTTGTCTGCCCCAAGTGTTATGTAACGGCCGCTTGTTGTTATTAACATTCCAGAGGATTTTAATTTGACCTGCTGCGTTTACAAGTGTACATCCTAAATGTCCGCAGGGAGGTTATATGTATAACAGACTTTGCCAGATTGGTCTTCTTTTTCAACTTTTTCTTGACTTTAGAATATGCAATGTGTACAATACTCTAAACACAGGTGCTTTGCTGTCACCGTTCATATACCGTACGGTATTTGTGCATAACCAACCAACTAGCTTATTTTCTACAATGACTGAGACATTTTTACGCCGTGCTAGAACTTTAACCAAATCATCTATTTTTTTCATTTTCATTCCGTCGACTTTTGACCTTAGTGATTTCTACGAACGTTTGACATAGTTTTGGGCCGCACTTTCACTCTGATTCATTGACGGGCAGATTGATTTTGAAAAATAGAGTACGAGTGAGGTCGGACTAGAGTCTGTTCCGAATTCGCTTATGACAACCACCATCACACAATGTTCATCGAGCGGGTCGCTTTTCAGCTAGTATTCTTCGAATAGGGGAGGCACCAAAGTATCCACTCCAATGCCTAGGGATTTCTAAAAGCATTGCTTCCTTCTGACGGCGCTGTCCTGTCGAAATATCCGAAGTCCTTGTTGGCGTGCGTATGGACCAGTTCTGTAACTGATTTACCAAGAGGCTTGGGTTCAGACATCCCTTATTAATCAGACTGCATTTAGAAAAAATTAAGGAGTATGCGAAGTAGACTTTCCGAAACATGTTTGGAAAATTTACTTTGCTGAAGTTTAGTGTGCTTAGAAGACGGATCCATCCTGAAGAACTAGCAATAAAACCTTCACTATTTACTTCCATTTGAGCATGACCACTCTGCGAAAAAAAGATTTAGGCAACCAATAACCAGAAGACATTATGACTTATTCCTGAGCGGTGGTTAAAAAAATTAAAGTGTCAAACAAGTAGGTCTGTTATTTTACGTGAGACAAAAATTGTCAGCAGAGAAACGAATTACCCCTTTTTCAAGCGCAAAACACCTTTCAAATCATTTTCATTTAAGACCTTTTGAGCCGCCATATCCAACGAGTTAGCAAATGGTTTGGGAAATGCCCAAGTTATTTGAACTGACCGATTTTTAATCGACGGATTTGAGTTCTGTCTATTTCACACGGATTCTTCTACGGCAAATGTAAACAAGCTTTTCTCAAGCAAGATGAAAGGTACAGTCTTAAAGTTAAATCAAAGTGCAAACGGCTGTTTTCAAAAATATGATATCAAAATCTAAATTGGGACAAGCAGCCGTGCAAATATAGTACCTACTAACAACCAAAGAATACCATTTGCTTGAGACCGGCCAATAAAATGTCTCTATTTTCGCTGTTATGAAGTATTTTGCTCCAAGTTTAGATGGTCAGTCTCAAACAGTGTGGGGCTCTTCAGTGGTTACCGAAACCCATGGCCCTTCACGTCTACTGCATTATATAACCACAAAAGCTCCCGTAAGTCAGATGTTGATACGCTTTACAGTGTTTTAAACCTTTTGATCAATTTATTTTGAAACAGACGCTAATGAATAGGTCGGCGTAAACCATAACCCTGATCGAGTATTCAAACAACAATAAATGTTTGATACAATGTAAATGATGCATTAAAAACGCCAAATGACATCGGTCGCTTCGAGGGACTTTTGAAAATACCTGAGAGCTTGTGCAAGACGTAAATAGCCAGTGCAAGAGTCAATAAGGCTTTTGAGGCAAAAAGTCAGTCGCACATATAAACAATACAAAATAGTTATGAAATCCAACGGGCTATCAAATTGAAGACTGTGAGCTGCAGGGTCTAAGGAATAAACGCACAAAACACGAAAAAACTAGCAGAAAACATTTTATAAAACTGGCACTACTTTAGTATCAATTAGTGGGCGACTGCGTCGGCCAAATTGCTTCATGAATAAAATTCAGGTATACATTAGAGGGCATTAAGACGTAATCATACTATCATTCCAATAAGGAGGTCGACTTTGCATACGTGAGCCATAGAAAACCGGTAAGGCTAAGTTTGGAATAAACAACTTTTTTGAAGAACATGATGTACAGCACAGAAAGCCACTTTCGACGATCATGTGGACGAGACCGCCAAAACCAAAAAATTAAAAACGATTTTGCTTAAATTATAAGAGACCACTACCGGATCCGGATCGGTAAAGGCACAATATTTCCACGGTATTTGATAAAGCGCTACCTTTTGCAATAGTCCTCGGACCAGTCCAGTGCATATAGGAGTTTGGCTCTACGGTTGAACTCCGTTAGCGGTATCCTTCGAAACCTTCCATAAAACAGAGGCCCACCAAAAAGCGCACGTGAATACTCGAACAGTTGCAAAAAACATTGATCTTCTAGTTATCAGACAGAAAATAAAAGAGGAGAAGCACTCGGAAATTATATAATATAAATAGAAGGTCAGTTTAATGATGCCAGATCCAATCAGATTCAGAAGCTCTGACAGTGAAGTAGGGGATACAGAAAACACAAAGGCTCGACTTCAGGGAATCCATCCCCACAGCATTTCAGGTGAATATTCGCTAATAATAACTTTCACGTGATCAGACATATCACGAAGCGTTGAACATCGTGGTTTGGGATGCTTTTAACTGATGGTACAAGGCAGGCCTCGCAGTTAGCCCCGGGTGTGTACGTGGTGTTGTAGATTGGCGGGCGATGTTTCGGGCTCATTGGCTCCTTCATAATATGTCCCCTATGGTGATCTCACACATGTGAGATTCGAACCCGCACCCCGTATCAGATGGCTGACCGGCTCGGAAAGAAGATTCACGTCTGGAAGACGAAAGGGGGTGGAGTCGACTTTGGCGACTACGTGCCCACAGCACTCTGGGTCTATTCCTGATTACAAAACATCTGACGCGCTTTGAAACTACTGCTAGTCGATAAAGACCGCAATTTGAACAGCTGTCAGTCGAGGGCATAACTCGCTCCGTCTTTTAGGACAATTAGCCAGGTTGCAAAGGCTCCTTCTTAATGAGACCCCTACGAGATCCTACTCAACCGGGACCCAAGCTCTCGCTTTTTTGCTATGTTGAAATCCTGGCCAATCCTGTGCAGATCAGGTCGTGTGAAGTACGCGCAGACAGGTTATTTAGTCTTTTCAACCAATGCGTCCGACCCCACTCCCAGTCTTTTTGACCCTGTTTTGACATCGGACACACAACGGTGAGGGAAGTCAGAGTTCGGCAGATGCTGCTGAAGTCTGCGATCAACCCAGCCGGTCAATTAACTGATGATGTTGGGTGCTGCTGAGTCTGTTCTGGTCGTTACGCTGTTAGTGGTGGCCAGGTCGCTGGAGGGCGAGTTAGTTGCGCTGATGACGGGAAAGTAGTCAGAGTCTCGACAATGTGGTGAATTTATCTGCCATGGATGCCCATTTGGCCGAATAAGTCCATGCGGTGAATGAATGTGCGTGGGCAATGCGAAAATTTGAGGGGACTGCGGTGGATGCATAGTAGGGTTTCTTGCACTGGTGCTTCTGTCATTGTACGATGGATTCGCAATTGAGTGACCAGGGCGGTACGCGTGATAAAGGTGTGATCACAGTGGGGCAGGTTTGGATTAAGTCCACATTGTTGGTGGCGAGCGTGGTGGTTGACGGGAAGTCGGGAGTTTTCTCACCAGTGGTGGGGGTTACCGATGTGGCAGTCGACGCTGCTGTCATCGCCGGCGTTCGGGCAGGTATAGTAAGTTGGTAGGGGTCGACAGTGTCGTCTGGAGCGTCATGGCACTAGGAGTGCGATCACCGGTGGTGGTGATGGTGGTAGTCGCCATCTTGGGGATTGGTGCGGAGGTGACAATGAGGGCGTTCGTGTAGCAGGCAGCGTTGTCAGGATGCTGTTTCACTGGGTCTTGCGATGTCTGAAGATTCCTATCCATGTAGGGGATGTCCGGGGACAAGATTAGAAGGTTTGGGCGCTGGGGTTTTGGGTCCGCAAGGTCCGGTTTTCTTTGTAGATTGCCTCTGCAGTCTCCAATACTCTTCTCCAGGCTGGTGGGTCCTACGCGAGGTCATCTCAGGTCGCCATATCAATTCGTAGATCCTAAGGGGACATACTCAGGTCATCCTTGTAGCATTGCTTTTGTCTATCTATTCGGCAGGCAACCGAAGCGATGTCGCCTTAGAGGAGTCTCCGGAGTTGGCGCTCGTCGTCCAGGCTCGGGGAGTGGTCGCTCCATCCCTGTTAGAGTTGCCTAAGGATGGCGTGGAGGATGAGGATTCCGGTTCGTTCCGAGACTTCCTTATCGACAATCCTGTACTGCGACCTCACCTATAGGACTTTTCAGAGATAGCTGAGGTGAAATTGACTGAGATTCCTGGTTTGATTATTGCAGACTGTCCATATTTTGTCCCGCAATGTAAGGTTGTCAGGACGACCAGTCGGTATATTTTGAATTATTTGTTGGTCTGAAGTCCGCGGCTGTTCCAGATGGAGTATTTCAGCCTGGCTGGGTATGAAAATCCTCTGGGACACTTCGTCGTGATTTTGATTTTGCGTGGGTGTACGGTATAAACAGGCGAAACAGGTCAAGGTTTGGATTTGGGTGCCGCCGACAGTGATGCGAGGGGGTCGTATTCAGTGTTGAGTGACGGCTGACGCATGACCGTCGTTGTGTCCGTGTTGATGACCAGCCCGAATTTGGCGGCACAGGTCTGCTTCTGAGGCTGTGCTGAGAGTACAAGCGATCGCGGTGAAAAGATCGCAGACAGCAGTCCTCAGTCGACGCTTCAGAGTCTTCATGCGTCGGTTATTGAGAATTGGCCATTGGTCCTGTATGCCATGCGAATCCCCGGGTGCTTATCACTGTAGACGTCGAGCATCATGGCAGAGGGCATGAGACTACAAAGGGTGGGGACGGATAGGCAGCCATGCTTCATTCCGTTGGTCACTGCATTTGATGTTTTTTTTCTTGAACCGCTTTGGCCTCGTGTGCATTCCCATTGATCTTTAACAGTCATCTGCTATGAACATGGTCGACCTGAGTTGATAAGCTAATGGCCAGTTTTCATTTCATCTGCAGCATGGAATAAAAATTCGTGATGGCCTACATAGAAGCATTAAAGAAGTCATATTCGGCCAGCGTACTTTTTCGATTGCTCCTCGTAACGCTTGTATAATAATATAAGTAATTTGCCGATAGCATGGTTATGACAGTTCCGATATAACAGAAGCAGAGGCAGTTACTGTTTAGTTCAGTTCGGGACATGGGGAAAGTAATGTTTGTGTTTCGTTGCTTTAACGCATTGTAGCAGAATGCGGGTATGACTATGAAGGTTTAATTTGGGCCAGGGAGCCTGGATAACATTAACAAACGCCTTCTGTGAAAGCAAGATTTGGTTGGTTACCTGCACGGCCACCGCTTCTGACGTCGCAAGTATCCGCTGTCGCAGGAATTCGGAGTGCCTCACCGGCACCCTTTAAGGCGGACTGGCTAAATCGAAGCATAGAAAAATCTACTTCTAGCTCAAGTTTGGCTCTCTTGGTTGACATCGTATACAGGCAGACATCAGCCAAGCATTTTGAGACATCTACAAAGTGCCGGCGAGGCACACCAAATCCCTGCGACGGTAGAGGCGGTAGCTATACGGCATTATAAGCAGTACTCACTGGCAGTCTCTTCTTTTCTCTTCTCTCCTGTCATGAACTGAACTGATTTATAATAACCCCTGGTTCTGACATAGCTGAAGGCTCCTAACTTTGCCCATGACTATTATTTAATTGCTGCTACCGGAAATTACGTATATTAATGTACGGGCCTTGCGAAGAACAATCGAAAATTTGCTGTGCTTACTTACACGTCTATCGACACGAAGCTGTTTTTGTTGCTTGGCAAGCATAAAAATTTTCTAGCTATAGGCGCTAAGTAAAAATTCTACCTTAAAATACTCTCATGCAGGCTCTTGTGAATATTCTAATCTAAATCTGGCACTCGAGGATTACAGGCAATACTGACTACAGATTCATTTTTCTGTAAAAATGCACAGGGTTTTTCTTTCGTTTTGTTCAGTTGCATTCAAATAACTGCAAAGACCTCCAGGAATACGGAGAACATGCGTAGCAGATTTCCAAGACGAATAAAAATTAGTTTTTGTCAACGAGTCAAATGTATTTCTCTTATTATCCTTTTGGTCACGTTATCACCTAAGAAAGCCGCCAGACAAATACCAAACAAGCATTAGTTGACCGCCATCTAGTAGTCTTTTGTGGCCCAAAATGATTTTTTGGCTTTTTCAGTTACCTGTTTTCATCAAAGCATTGTTCCTTGAGGTCGAAATTAATCTAGCATACCAAACATCATTTGTTTCAATTTACGTTCTTCCTTTTAGGTCATAAACCTTGATGAAAAATCTCTAAAAATAAAAAATGGAGCGTGCTATGTATCCGATGAAGAAGTTGGAAAACCCTGTTCAGTTACCAATAGTATGTGCTTTTGTGTTTATATTGATACCCAGCCCCGAAATCTAAACGTTTTGCCAAGGTTATCTTAACAAACTTACCAAAAGTCTCGGAATGGTGTGATCTTTACGAAATTCTGCATTATTAGCATTTACTTATTTATATTTCAGAAATAACACCCTGTTATCGATTACCGTCCTGCATTGTATCTTTTTCATAAACTGAACTCTTTCCTAGTCCCATTTACCTGTGCTGGATCGCTATGAGTATTGGGGTGCAACTGTTTACAAAGCTTACTAGTCAAATGAACCTAAAATTTATATTCCTATAGTTAAAAATTAGCTATTTGGGCAGTACATGGGAAGTTGTTCATCTTTGACTGATAGCATAATTCCAGGGCCTTGAGATGATAGAAGTACGCTCAAAAGATTATAGTTCACAGTGTCGACATGTCCTTGTTTAATTTAACAGGGAGGACTTTTGCTTGGTTTAAAATACTGACGACGCATGCATTATCTAAAATCGCAGACATGCTATACCGATATTCTACTGTTGCATTACACATCTGTGAGGGGTTCAGCTCGTCTGTGCGTCATCCCATCGTTTCCTGTGTGCTTTCTGGTGGATGTCTGCTCAGATTTCGGATCAGGCCCCTAAATTTTCATTGCGAATGATTCACTCCGTGAAGGCCCATTCATTTCTATCGATGTAGAAAGTGCAAATGACACACTAGTCCATGTGTGAATTCTTTTGAGACTAATGGGTTAACTTGGCAGAAACGCCCATCATCTTTGAAAATTTCATTCAACTTAACTGTGCGTTTTCTGCTTAAGTCCCCTATAAGCTTAATAAAATTATTTCGCGAACAACCAAACTTTCATCTGTCTTTCAGCTTCCGATGGATTTTTAACGGAACTCCAAATTTCCTCTGTGACCAAACATAAACAGCTAGTCGTGTCCGGCCACGTCTCGCACACCACATTTTTTGCTCCAAATTGTGTATTTCCGGAAGCACTGGCAGGTAATACCTAACGTATCACCATTGCTTTTGACATCCTCTGTTCAGATGCTTTTAAATTTAAGAAAGTCTTTAAACGCAACTGCAATAGGAGTGGAACATACGGTTATAATGTTTAAACCATTTAAAGAATCATTTCTACCCTGTGGACATGAGACACATATGTTATTGTTTCAGATGAAGTTATTCCAGGGCCCTCGTTACCACTCTTCCGGTTTATGAAAGGATTTAGCGAGGTCAATATAACTTTTGCAATGTCTGTTAGCAGAGATGATCTTCCAGTAAGTTGAATTAATTTTGCGTGAAAATATTTGGAGTTGAATTTTCAGCTCACAGGAAATATTGCTGAGCAATAGTAGGGTCTTAGGCCATATGGGCTTGGCAGATATTCATTAAAACTATTTTTAGAATAGCGTCACTCATTCAAATGTAGTATTTGTAAGACCGGAGCGACGAATAGGAGCCAGTAGAGGCAAATAGGTTAAAAAGGCGGTCGCTGTGCTAAGTTGTCAGGTTTATTGGTAAAAGACAAAAACTTCACCTCATTGATGAACACTATTGTTGATCAGCATTTCCCACAACTTTTATAACGCTGTTCCTTCGAGTTTGGCTCTCGTACGATTACATAATGATGTGGGCTTTCCCCTCAGCTTTCAGTTTTTCACTCTTTTCCCCTTCTAGACTCCCCGTTACTTATAATTATAAGGGCAAGTTTTGAAATTATGTGATTACTTGGCGACCCAAATTTATTGCTCAAGCTGCTATTCCACAAAATCGTAAATTCTAAATACCGGGCATTATTGATGGTTTGACAGTTTACTGTGGGAAATCTAAATGGCGCATAGTTCGAAAACGCTTTCGAAGTCCAGACGGCGGTCTAGATGCATTAACAACAAGAACAGGACACTGGATGATATGTGGGAGATTGGTTACAGCAATATAACTAATCGTTCTATCTTTGTTTCTCAAAAATACGCTTAGCTTAAGCGAAGATATTAAGCCAACACTTCAAGTTTTACTTATCAATCAGCTTGACCTACGGCCAGAGAAATTTAACCTGGTAACAATTGGGGGATGGCACCCAAAAAATTCCCTTACCGATGAGAATATGCCGGAGGACTGCATGAGTGTTCGTCTACAGGCTAATGAAAGGAATAAAATAGGGGTATTTTACTGAGGGTCGGAAAACTGTAAAAGCATACAATCCTAGACAGACGGTGGCATCAACTAAGCAATTTCACAAAATTGCAACTCTCGTCGGGGTCAAGTGCGTCGATGTTTTCAATCACGTCCTCTGTGTTTATTGAACGTGCAGTTTTGAAAGCGAGGATATGAAGGCATAGGGTAATGAACAGCACAACGTAGAACGTTTCCTTTAGCCAACTGCATTCGGCTTTCAATCCCCTATTTAAAAAAGCAATTAGTCAGGGAATAAGAGCTGGATCGACTTCATATTATCTGCCACTTCAAGTAAATCCGACACCGCGCACATTGTTGTTGTCATATAATGATGAGGTTAAACTTTATCGTTCGAAAAGCCATTTCTGAAAAAACTTCTTAGTATTATTTATATTTATCCACACAATCGAAGGTCCCACCCGTAAAACCCCTATTACCACCTGTCCCGTAAGACAGGCTGCTTTGGTTGGGCGGATTTTTCTGGGTGCCATTTCCCAATGGTTACCTTAAACCTATCTTTACTTTTAAGATTCAAGTATGGGACACTCGCCAGCTTTTGTGCCAATGGTACGGTACTGATCTAGTTACAGGAGAACCAGATTTCTGCAGTAAGTTCATGTTTTGCGAACGTTTAATATTCAGCTTACAAAAGCAGCCGCAAAATCTTTACTAAATAGCAGTGCCATGGTCACAAATGCTGTTCGATCCAGCATAGGAGTTATCGAGAAAATATGTAATTATTTTCGTGAGGCAAAAGTTGCAAATTTAAATTATATGACAAGATCACAATAATACACGTGATAAGTGTCGAAAAATAACAGTCTTATGTTGAAACAACGATTGAAGACAAATTTTTATGGAAGCTTACGTCTGCTCAGGAACTATGTTTGTCGTTTTCATGATTACATGTCGCTCAATACACTCAGTGTTAGGGCATAATTTAGAAGGTGCACTTCCCTTTATGATATATTTGATCTACATAGGTTTATTTGTTAATCCAGGCAAGATTAGCTGAGTTCAATAATTTGTAACCGATGGTGGTACTATGGCCATGTTCTACTGTACGCGCAAGGGGCTGGTTAATATTGAGAAGTAATGTTACTGTGCGGCTGCTGGTTGGGTTCGAGAGAGAGCCCTTAAGGCACAACGGAACGAGTGAGTTCCGTATGAACGATCGGTGAGCGCCCCCTAACATAGTAATGTTACTATTTGGATGCCTTCCACTGGGGGACGCAGTGTCGTAATAAGAACACCAATGATAAGCATCAATAATTCTGGCGTAAAAATCCATTCTCAAATGCCGACTTGTAAAAGTAGGCATGTCCTTCCGTTTGAATTACTTATTTTATAAATCGCGCTCTCATGGATGATTTCCGGAAACGACTTGGAGAATTCAGATGGTGCACGCGGCAATAATCGTAAAGCATTTACTTATATTATTAAATGCACCTTTGGATAGAAAGTAGTATCGAGTGAGTTTGCAGTGCTTTTTTGTTAAGGGACGTAATCTTTGTCTACTCGAAGCAAGCAGCATGTTGGTCGCGGAATTAAAAGTTTTTAATCCAGAAGCCTATGAAAACTCTAGGGAACATTCTCGAGAAAGTGGTGATTTGTGACGCCTGCCTAAAATCCATTCAAATATTTGATGTGTTTCCTTAGTCATGGTCTCCAATATTGCACAGCATGCTCAGATATGCGGATAAATACAGACGCCAAAACTCGTATCAGGAATTAAACCGAAGTCTGCGAACGTTCGTCGTGAGGCTCCCGTTAGTGCCGTTGCGCAAGTCGACTTCAAGAATTTAATTTCTCCGCCTAGGTCGTCTTGTTTCAATGCATCATGTACATTTGGCTTTATCAAATGTCAGCAAAGCTTCGAGAATGAAATACCAGGGGAAGATCTACTTAACGCCCTCTATGTGCGACTAAGCTTCAGCGTCTCCCACTTACAGTGGTGAAGTCAATGCATCAGTCTTCACTTTAAGTTTGTTGGCCGTACTTGTTCGTTTGTATAAGTGATACGCTTTATTCATTCCGACTGATCCGCCATATATTAGGGCTAACAAAAAAAATGTTACATCCAATGTGGTCTCATTAATTGGCTCGTTAGTAATGAATGAAGAGGGTAGCAGGATGACTGGGACGGTAGACTTATTGGCCTTTACTTACGAATCATGAAACCGAAGGATTGGCTGGACACGGGTGGGCCGTCGGACGTAATCTATCAAATCCCGTGCCATAACCGTCCTTGCCACTACACAGGCCAAACAGGAAGACGTCTCAGCTCACGAATACTTGATCACAAACGGGCCGTTCGGAGAGGCGACCAACTAGCTCAAGTCGCCACTCAGACGCTGGAGGAAGGCCATGGATTTGGCTTCGCCAAGACGCGGATATTGGCGCGAGCCGGCAACTGTTGGAGGCGTGGGTGTCGGACACAAACTCTGTCAGTAGACACATTGATTTGTATCCGTGTTATCACGCACTCCGCCCACGCAGGCAGGTGACACAGTTCACATCGCCGCGAAGTACAAACGGCGTCACCACGCCGGGGGACCATTGAGGGCCAGGTAGCACAAAGCAGACCTAGCCACGGACGTAGTCACCTCCCCCCCCCCTCATAGCACAACGATGTAAATGTTCACATGTTGCCGCACTCTAGCAGTCTCTGATGATGAACTCCTGTTCGAGTTCGAAAACTAAGGCCAATAGATCCACCGCCCCCAGTGATCGTGCCTTCGTCTTCTTTTAAACAAGAACCTGGGATGCGCATATGCTCTTCCTTTCGGAAGTGGTTAGCGCTTAATTTTAATGACTCCTGGAGCATCTTTAAACATCAATATTTTATGCACTCGCGAGCAAAATAACAATTCGATATATAAATTTTTTACTAACACCCAGTTGTGAAATCTGCAATTCCTCTTAAGATACCTAGATTACGCTTTTATGTTTTTTCTATTTTCTCAAGTTTTGAAGTTGACAGTTTAATCTGAAGAATGCTGATGAACTGTTTTCCGAAAATAAACATCAGGAGCTTAAATCATGTAAATAAAAGCAAAATTCATATCCATTGTACACATTTCTTCGTAGAAGCCTGATTTTTCACCTTAACAAAACGTTTCCTGTGAGATTACTTCAAGAAGAAACCTACGTTTGGGAGACGACTACGACAAGCCTCAGTAAATTTTCCCGGAACTTTTGTAGATGCGAATTACACAGGCCACTTTGCCATAAATCTGGTAAAATGGCTTTCAATAGTTGTTACTGACAAAGTTCATGTGACTAGAATGGCTGTGATAGACTTGTTCTCGTCAACGAACCATATTCCAATCTCCTGATAAGGTGTCATAGCATTTGCAATTTGGTCATAATGGTCAGTAATATTGGCCTGAAATTCGTTGGAATATGGTCTTACGATATTCTGAGTGTTACTACATATTATCCAAAGTCATCTGAGAGAGTATTCAAGAGGCAGATTTAACTATAGGAGTAAATATGTTGATTCCGGTGGGTTCGGCTCTCTTACGACAAGAAATACGTCAGCAGTGGCCATTTCAGTCAATATTATATCCGTTGACAATTATTCTGAAGTGTCCACTATTTCCCCGAAAGTAATCCTCTTATAGGACTCGTGGCTGGAACTCGAGACCAAACTGATTATCAAACTCGAAATAGAATCAGGGGCGTCCCGAGATAGGTCATTATCGTGTTATTTTAAAAATAGCTACTTTGGGCCTAAGTCTTGTCTTCCACTTTAGGCAAAATATCATACCTTAATCAAATCGGTGGATGATCATAGAATCAAATGTGTCTACAAAGAAAAAAAGGGCAGTTC